TATTTTAGTACTTCAGTTAGATACCAGAATTTTTTTTTAATCTAATATTTATATTTTATTTCAGTTACTGAAAATGTTTTTAAATAGTTTGAGTTTGAATTAACAGTAACAACACTGCTTTCAGCACATAACTGGACGTGTGCCTTTATATATACATTGTTCTTTTATGAATATGCTCTGCTCTCACTCAGATATTGCGTGTACACGCTCAAACATTGTCCTCGCATCACTGAAGACCAGAAGAGGTTTTTTTTTTCTAATACAAGGGAAGAGTAGGCTTTTCTCACTAAATGGAAGCTGATTATAGTCAGCCTTCTGTAGTTATTTATTTTATTATTTAATACTTATTTTACTTAAGTGCTTAAATTGTAAATATGCATTTATTAGATTATGTTATTTAGTACATTTGTATTTTGTTGTTTTTGTATATAGTTATACAATAAAAGTGTATCAAACATGTTCCAAAAATAATCATTTATATTGTTATATTGCTATGGTTATCACTATTTCAATCAATGCTACTTCGAGAGCGAATAAATAGGCGCCAACGAGCGCGAGAAGGAAAGCCCCTCCCTAAACTCATCAGCCAGGTCCACCTGCGAACCCCATGAGCTCATTCTCCTCCGTGCCTCAGCAGCGGTAGTGACGTCATGGGCTGTCGCCGGCCAACGTGTTGTTGGTGTTTTTTTCAATGTATGCTTCAGACACGGGTCACGACGAGGTGTTCCCCATAGCGACCCCTAGAGGACGCAGTTCGAAGTTCCCTTGAAAGGGAACCGGCGTACATTCATGAGGATGATGAAAGTGTTTTCACTTGAGTAAAGCCTTGAAGTCCTTTTAAGTGTTTTCTTAATTGTATTAATGAGAAACATGAATCTCTACGGAAAGTCTGTGCATTTTACAGCTTCAGATCACGTCCTGAGTCTGCACTGATTGATTGTTTGATTGATTGATTGATTGATTGACAGCTGTCAGAGAGCAGTGCAGGTTATTGTTTTAATCATTTCTCCTCCTGCATCGTTGCAGCTGACCGATTCCTTCTGTTCGCTGCAGTGCTGTAAATCTGGACTGAAATCTTAAGAGCCTCATTTCTGCGGGACGATATTGACCTGAGCAGAAAGACCATAATGTCTGAGTCCAGTAAACATCTAGAGCCACTGATTTATATCTCAGAGCAGAGAACAACATCATAAATCCTGTGAACATACATGTCCTCATCACATCTGATCACGCCGCTCTGATGTCTTACTTTCTGGAAAGAGTTCATATTCATAATACAGATTTTATTATTTTTTTTTATTTAGTATTATTAAAGTATTCATTTATATTTTGAATTAGCTTGCTTTTTTATGTGTGTAGACATCATTTTAATTTGTGTTTTGGTTATTTTATGTGTTTGTCATTTTTATTAGTTTGTTGTTGCTTTTTTTGTCATTTCTAAATAGCTTATATTTATTTTTAGTGAAGAACAACATCACATCCTACACTGTAAACCCCAATAAGTTGAGAAAACTCAAGAAATTTGAGGTATTATCTAAAGTTTTTTATTAAATATTTCTTTCACCTGTGTTTCAGTTTTAAAAAAACGTTTTAATCTTTTTTTGCACACAAAGTACACATTTAATATGGATCGGGAGAAGATTAATAAAAAGGTCCATAAGTGATGGACAGCTGAATAACTAAAATGATCTGTCCTTCTTTTGATTCTGTTTTTTTCGTTCTAAATAACATCTGGTCACATATAATAACAGCTAATAACGTCAGCTTTGTTTTTAGTCTCAGCTGTAGATGTTTGTACTGACAGACACTGAAATGCATTCACTCGTCATCAACAAACACAGTTCCTCTGTTCATCTCCTGTTTGGAGAAACATCAGCGCTGGATGATAAAAGCTGCTCCGTTATATGACTGCACTTTCTGCACTTTCACTCGTTATATGAGTCTCTTTCAGATTGAACCGCATTTGCTTCAATTTAGAAAGAGAAGGTGAAAGTGAAACCCTTCATACATCCAGCAGCATTTCTGTAAAAGCCTCGTAATTCTACTGTATGTTGTTTTTTCCGGAAGCAAACACCATCTGTATAATTGCATCCAGACGGGAAACTCCCACATGTGCATTTGTCATCGTATGACTCACTTCTGCAGCTCTTTCAGCTCTTCGTCTCTCAGCGTGTGCGTTTCAGATGATCTCAGATGTGTTTGGTTTAGCCTCTCATTAAATCTGGTGAATGGAGTGAAGCTGCAGGAGGATCGGCTCGACCTCTCAGATCAAGAGCTCTGTGTTTATCTGTCCTCCTCCAGCGCTGCTTAAACCACCCTTCATGTGGCTCTTTACTGATACACAGAAATTAATTTCAGCCGTTTGAAATAATAAAAATGTTATTTAAAGGCTTTCTCCAGGCCATTAGTGTGGAGCTGCTCCCTATATAGTGCACTCTTTATAGTGGATCCTCATTGTATGCATCTGAGCATGCATTTAGATCTTACTTTATTTTATTTTATTTTCCATGCAACTTTACTGCATTGATTTAGAATTTGATTAATATCAGTGTAACTGTTTTGTGTCTTAGTTGTACAGGTTATATGTATTTTATTTTATTTTATTTTATTTTATTTTATTTTATTTTATTTTATTTTATTTTATTTTATTTTATTTTATTTTATTTTATTTCATTTCATTTCGTATGTATAATACAGCTTTTTATTTTGTTTTTTTAATTTGTTTTGTTTTGTTTTGGATTTCCAGTTTCCAGTAATTGTGACGTTTGACAGTTTATAGGTACGTATTAGGCATATGCCGGTATCAAATTTTCATGTTGCGATTAATTGCTAATGCTTTTATCACGGTATACGGTATTATCACGATATTGAAATTTAGTTGCAAAAAAAGTGTTGTCATTATACAGTATAATAGGTTTAAAAACCCTTTTCTTGTAACAAAAATAACTGAACATTTAAATACAAATTTTTTTTTACACAGATTAAAGTGCAAAAGAATTATAAAGACCAATAGGTAACACTTTACAATAAGATCTCATTAGTTAACCTTAGTTAATGCATTAACATTAACAATCAGCAATAGCTACATACTACACTATGCTACAGCAGCAGTTTACAAACCTCAGTAAGTCACACAAAAGGAAGAATGGAAAGATTAAGAGTTAAAGCATGGCATTAATTGCTGTAGATTCTCTTTCTCCCTTTTATGATATTATGTCTTGTAAGGGGCAAGACATCCAGTTTGGATGCGTTTCATTCTAATCGGTCAAGGGCCCTAATTCTTTTTATGACTAGTAGCTTATGATTCCATTATAATGTTGAAGTTCAGTAATGAGTTTATATTTACATTAAATGAAATCACCTACTACAGTCGACTAAAATGGAATAATATGGGCCTAAAAATGCGTAATTTTCTTTTTTTTTTGTTACATAGATGTAATTTTTTCTTCATTCTATTTATTTTTATTTATTTATTTTTATATAACTTTTTGATACACAATGCCCTGTTGGGGCAACTTATGGCTGCACTTTGCTCTGCACTATGTTCCACCACTTTAAGACAAATGGGTTTGTTGTTTGTTGTGTTTTCATATTCAAGAGATTTTAAGCTAGATGCAGCTTTTTTGGGTTCGCATTGAATGTTCTTCGACTTTTATACATAATACATTTGTTTATGAATAAAGATTGATCTGTTGGAAACAGTTATATTGAGTTAGATGCCAAATGTTCTCCTCCTATTCAAATTTGACATTGAAGGTGTGCATACAACATATTTGCCCACATTCAAATACGATTTTTAAGAAAAAAACCTGAGGAAAATAAATGCAGAACATGTTCACATAGGCACTATTAACATGACTATATGCATGAAACCATTCAGAAAAATTTGGGCACAAATGGGTTAACAAAGTGTTATTAAATTTTGGAATTACCTAAGATTAATGAATGTTTAGAAGAATTTTTCATTGGCAGTTTATGTTAACTAATTAATTAACTTATGTTAACTAATGGAGTCCTAATGTAAAGTGTGACAGAGCAATAAAGAATCAAAACATTTTTAAACAATGTCTAGGGCATGTTGTAGTCCAGATTAAAATGTAAAAAAAAAATATGCACCAAGAGCTTGTAACACTTCAAAGAGAAAGGAAAAAATGAAATCGCATCATATGACCCCTTTAAAAATTTAAAATAAATAGCCTATTAAGTCTAAATGTATAAGTATTTGGCGCTGTGATGAACACCATAGCGAATACACAAATCTGGATGGCTGTTTAAACTATTTAAAAGCCTTTCAGAAACAGAAAGCTGTTTTGTTTATGGGGTTTCCGGGGTAACAACTGCATTTCTGCTGTTCAGCGCCATCTGCTGTCAGACAGTGAATGTGCACTTTCATTCAGCGCGTCTCTTTCACGTGTTTCGCCATGCGCTTCTCATCCGTGCTTGTTTACATGAGAGTGAGCATTTGTATTTGGCAGCATACAGCAGTGTTGTGCATTGTGACCAGTTGATGGGAAAAGTATTCTTAAAATGCATTCAGAATTCTGAATAATTTTTAATAAATAATTATTCTCTGTATTTTGAAGTGCATGTTCATTATCGTGATATATCGCATTACCGAATACCGGCATATGTCTAGTACGTATAATACAGCTTTTGTTTTATTTTATTTTATTTTATTTTATTTTATTTTGTTTTGTTTTGTTTTGTTTTGTTTTATTCTTTTATTTATTTTATTTATTTTTTATTTTTTTTGGATTTCCAGACCAAACTAAGTGGTAATACAGATTTGATTTTATTTTACTTCCATTTATTTTATTTTATTGTAGTTTATTTTACTCATGTCTTCATCACAGTATGCTGGAAATAGTATGCTAAGGGCACCTTATATAGTTTACTCTTTCCAGTGGATCCTCAATGTTTTAGGTCAGTATTTTCTTGTATGTTTGTATTGTTATGTGATGCGCTGCAGTAATGCGTTTTTCTCCGCCTGTCTCTTTTAGATCCTCCGGCAGTGGAGCCGGTGTGGCAGGAGGTGCGGCAGGGTTTGGGTCGGCAGGTGTCCATGAACTGCCGTGTTCTGCGTGCTCATCCATCCCGTGTGCTACGCTATGAGTGGAGGCTGGGCTCGCGGCTGCTGCACGCTGGCACCTTCGACTCACGTGATGACACCGATTACATCGTACGCAGCCTGGCGCGCGAGGGCTACGGCGAGTACACCTGCGACGTCATCAACGAGGTGGGGCCGGGACGCTGCACCTTCCTGTTGACCGGTGAGACTCCACCCACACTACACCACACTGCTGCAGAGCACTCACTTCCTGTAGTGGGCAGGACTTATGATGACGGACAGCTGGCTTACTGAAAGACAGTAGAAAACTATAGATTTTGTATAAATAGATGAGATTGAAGGATAGATACTGTAGAGAGATGGCTGGATTAATAGATGCCCAGAGCACCCTAGCAACTGGATAGTAACACCCTAGCAACCACCCAGAACATATGGGTGTTGCTATGCAGTTGCTATGGGATTATGGGTCGTTGCTAAGGTGTTGCTATGCAGTTACTATGCCCAGAGCACCCTAACAACTGGATAGCAGCCACCCAGGACACCTGAGTGTTGCTATGCAGTTGCTAGGGGATTATGGGTCGTTGCTAATGTGTTGCTATGCAGTTACTATGCCACAGAGCACCCTAAAATCTGGATAGCAACACGTTAGCAACCACCCAGGACACCCAATTGTTGCTATGCAGTTGCTAGGGTATTATGGTCATTGCTAAGGTGTTGCTATGCAGTTACTACGCCCAGAGCACCCTAGCAACTGGAGAGCAACACCCTAGTAACCACCCAGAACACCCGGGTGTTGCTATGCAGTTGCTAGGGGGTTATAGGTCATTGCTAAGATGTTGCTATGCAGTTACTATGCCACAGAGCACCCTAAAATCTGGATAGCAACACCTTAGCAACCACCCAGGACACCCAATTGTTGCTATGCAGTTGCTAGGGTATTATGGGTCATTGCTAAGGTGTTGCTATGCAGTTACTACGCCCAGAGCACCCTAGCAACTGGATAGTAACCACCCAGAACACCCGGATGTTGCTATGCAGTTGCTAGGGAATTATGGGTCACTGCTAAGGTGTTGCAATGCAGTTACTATGCCCAGAGCACCCTAGCAACTGGATAGCAGCCACCCAGAACACTTGGGTGGTTGTTAGGGTGTTGCTACGCAGTTGCTAGGAGATTCTGGGTCATTGCACATGTGTTTCTGTGCAGTTTCTAGGGGATGCTGGGTCATTACTATGGTGCTACTAGCATCGTTGCTACATTGCAGATAGATAGATAGATAGATAGATAGATAGATGTTGTGTGTGTGTGTGTGTGTGTGTGTGTGTATGTGTTCCTGTGTTTGTGAGTGTTGTTTCTCTTGTTCGTACCAGTTTTTGAGTAAATCACATCTTCCAGATGGCGTTTCCTTCATAAATGGCAAAGTAATTGGTCAAACGAGACTGAAGAGATTAGTGTTTAACTGCACAGCCGTGTGGCATTTTCAGCACGAGTCCATGTGAGACAAGTTCATTTATGAGACGAATGTGAGATGAATTGCTCTTCTTAAAGGGATTGTTTCTGTCATCATTTACTCACCCGTATGTCGTTTCAAACCTTTGTGACTTTCAAATGTTATTCATTCATATTTCAAATGTAGGAGGCTACAGAGTTGCTATGCGGTCACTAGGGTGTTGCTGTGCAGTTGCTATGCCCAGAACACCCTAGCAACAACCCACAATCCCCTAGAAACAGCAACCAACTAGCAACTAGTTGATCTTTTCAACTGGGTTGCAATGCAGCCATTGCCATAGCAATACCCTACCAACATAGCAACTACCTAGCAACAACATGGATTCCCTTAGCAACTGCAACCAACTAACAACTGGTTGATCTTTTCATCCATGTTGTAAGGGTGTTCTGGGGGGTTGCTAGGGTGTATTTGGTGGTTTCTAGAGCATTGAGAGTGGTTGCTATGCCATTTCGTGTTTTTTAGGTGCTAGAGAGTTGCTGCAGTTACTAGGGTGTTGCTATGCCCAGAACACCTTAGCAATAACACACAATCCCCTAGCAACTGCAACTAACTGGTAAACTGTTTAATCTTTTCAACCAGGTTGCTAGAGTTTTATGGGTGGATTCTAGGGCGTACTTGGTGGTTACCAGGGCATTATGTGTGGTTGCTAGGGTAGGCATTGCAACAGTCTAGCCACCATCTAGGAAACCAAAGAAACTGCATAGGGTGTTAAAAGTGGTCGTTATGCAGTTGCTGGGGTGTTGCTATGCCCAGAACTCCCTAGCAACTGCATAGCAACACCCTGCCAACAACCCAGAATCCCCTAGCATCTACAGAGTGTTGCTAGGGTGTTCTGTGCTTGGTTGCTATGCAGTTGCTAGTGTTGCTGTACCCAGAGCACCCTAGCAACTGCATAGCAACAACCCCAGAACACTCTAGCAACTGCAACCAACTAGCAACTGTTTGATCTTTTCAGCTAGGTTGCTACGGTGTACTTGGTTGTTATGCTGTTGCTAGGGTTTTGCTATGCCCAGGACTGATGTCTGATATCCATGTGTGAGCGACTGGAGTTTGTCCCTCAGACGCGACGCTGCTGGAGTGTTTCTCTGCTGTGTTTGGCTCTGTACTTCAGTGTAGATGATCATCATGAAGCGTCTCTCATGTGCCAGTCGTTCAGACTCGTCTCTGCCATTTCTGCCACCTGCTCAGAGCTTTGTCTGCCAGAGAGAGCGCTGATCTGGCTCTGATCCGCAGATCTTGCCCGGTTCTCTGCAGGTGTAATGGATCTACGTTTGTTCTCGCTGCAAACATATTGCATTCATTTACTCTGCGCGTATGAGATGACGCTTTGACTCACGTCACAGTGACAGTATCAGAAACAGTACATTCAGTTCAGTGTTTTGTGTATTTCATAATCATGTTTCAGTGCCTGTTTTACAGAATCCAGTGAAGTCCTTCACAAATAAAAGGTGCTTCATTTCACTGTGTTATCTATTCTTTTCATTCTGAACTTGATGGACTTTAATCAAAAAATCAGATTATAATAGACCAGACTAGATAATAAACTCGAGACAGCCTGAGCAGAAGATAGCAGAAGTTTTAAAAGCTTGAAGATTGAAGATTTTAAGGTCATGTACAAAGACAGGCAGACAGACAGACAGAATTATAGATAGATAGACAGACAGACAGACAGACAGATAGATAGATAGATAGATAGATAGATAGATACTTTTAAAACAGTGTAGCTTTTCCAGTAGCTAACAGTTTTTTCCAGCAAGTAGCGGTGTAGCGTGACCCCATTCTGTTTTGCGTTCTGACTCACGAGCCTGTAATGCATTGAAGCTTCTGACTAGATCACAAACTAATTTTTTTCATTACCACCATCTGTGGTGATATCACGACACTGATTTAAAACGGATTAATTTACCTGCTTTATTGCACTCATTATAAAACGTCTATTTTACAATGATGAACCATCATAATATAATCTGTCCCCCACAGTTTTGTAATGAACACTAATCAAAGAAAAAATTAAATCGTGATATAGTAGTGTGTTTATCATAATTTTGCACTTTGACAGTCAGTTTGAGATAATGTAACCATATAACTATATTTTATTATTGTGTGTATCGGATAGTCCTACAAAATGATTGGGACACTTTTTATCATTGAAATTACTTGGAAAAAGTGTCCCAATCAACCAGAATTCACCATACTCTTTCAAATCATGATTGCATTACAATACGTTGTTTTAAACCCCAAATATCTTACTTATAACTTTATTATATTTTACTTATAACTTCATTATAATTCTTCATTAACAAGTATTCAGTTATTTGTAATGTTTATTGTACAAAAAAAAAAAAAATGTAAAGTAGTTTCAATGTAGCTAGCTACTTTTTCAGAAGGGTAACTTGAATGTAGCTTAACTACTTTAATTTACAAGTAGCTAGATTACGTAATTACGTAATTTAATTACTAAATAAATTTAATTGTAATCAGTTACAGTTTCTATGAAAAAATGGGGGTTACATCTGAATTTTTTTTTTTCACACACATACAGATTTGATTGATTTCTTTCCCAAAATGCACTGACTGCTCTAAAATATGAGACAGCAATGTTTCAGGAGTTTAGGACACAGAATATGGCACATGCCAATTTGATATATGTTTTTTTCCAAAGCATTGTTAGATTCCAGTGTTTCATCTCATAGCTGTGCAAAGATTTGATTTCAAAAACAGTATCATAGCTATTACACTATTTCTTGTTATGATTTTAAATCTGTATTTAACCTCAGAACGATCTCAGAGTAAAAGAGGTGCTAAAGTCTGATTTTGTGGTGGCTTTGCTTTAAAATTCAATTATTACAATCTTAATTCAAGTGATGAAGAATTTTAAACGTCTGACAGTAATGTTAACCCTGCCTGCTTTAAATGTTAATGTGATTAACAGTTGAAAACATTAGAAATTTAGAAAAGCAATTAAAAAGTAATCAAATGTAATCAGTTACATTACTTTAAGAAAGTAATCACATTTTAGATAGTGTAACTTGTAATCTGTAACCTGTTACATTTCCACAGTACACTCTAAAAAATGCTGGGTTAAATATAACTCAGCGCTGGGTTAAAAAGGGACAAACCCAGCTATTGGGTTGTTTTGACCCAGCAATTGGGTTGTTTTGACCCCAACCGCTGGGTCAAAACAACCCAATAGCTGGGTTTGTCCCTTTTTAACCCAGCGCTGGGTTATATTTAACCCAGCATTTTTTAGAGTGTAACCTTCTCAACACTGTAGATATATAGATGTGAACGCAGAACGAGATTACTGATATGAGCATTTACGAATTCAGGGCCAATCATAACATTCATAACATTCTGACGCAGATGACGCATTTTCTCCGGTTCAGTTTAAAGTCATGTAATACGTTGTCTTTGGGCCAAAAGAAGCTGCATGAATGTGAACGTTTGACAAAAATGAAAACGTCAACAAAACACTGATCGCGTATAACGTTACCCCTCCATGTTTACAAACACAACACCGGGAGCGCAGCCGTTTAGAGGTCATTTCTGATTAATGATGTGACAGAATTTACTTGTATTTTGAAATGGATGTGTGAATTGTGCTGTTATGTGAGGAATTGTAAAGTGATTTATTTATTTTAGCCTATAGGTGGAGTCGTGAGGAGGGATTTCCCTGATCCTGGAAAGTGGAATGACGTCATCGGGGGATTTCTAGTATAAAAACTTCAATGGCGTTGATGGCGTCTCTCGCTCTTTGTTTGGGTCTCTTTCGCCTCATGGCGAGATCACTCATCCCCTCTCCTCTCCTTGCAGGAGTGATTCTGTTTTTGATTTCGAATTGTTCTTTCGTTGACTTTTTGACTAATTAATCTATTTTACATTAATCAAAATGTATCTTTCGTTCATTACAGTATATTTGTGGATATATTGTTGTTTGTTCGTTTCTTTTGCCTTTGGATTAAATCTTATGGCGTAAATAAACGTCAAAGCTTCATTAGCTATGTTTCCATGACCCTATTTTAATGCGCATTTTGAAGTATCGCATGAGAATGATGGAAACGCCAAATTTTGAATAAAAATCCCTTAATTCGCAAAAAAGTTTTTACGCTCGCTTGAGGTGGTTTTTGACTAGGGTTAATGCGAATAATTGGAGATGGAAATGCATTTTGCGAATAAATTTCTCCAGTCGCGTGACTTTGCGCTATGGGATAGCAAAACCTGACTAACCAGCGGACCGATCTCGTTCCACAGCATCTGAAATGTTGTTATGCTCATTCTGAAATGCCCGAGCAAAGTCTGTCATCAAAGTATTTCTCCCAGAAATGTCTTACACGACTGCGTTCCCAAACAGCAGCATCCACCTCCGAAAGCAATGACCGCATTCATTGTGTTTCGCCTGCTCGGTCTGAGGCACAAGTCATTTATTATACAGTATATGAAAGTTATTATATTCAGTAGCTTCTCCTACTTTTCTTAGTGATTTATAGTGCCAGTTTATCAGGAAGTGACTATTTTGTTCTCTTTGACTCGTTGGATGTAAACGGTGCCTGTTCGCAAATGTTTTATGCGATATTCCAATTTTGCGCATAAGTTAAATTCGCAACTTTGTCTGTGATTTTCGTATATGTTCGGTCCTTGCCTCTCTGATTAGATTCAACGAGCTGAAGTTGGTTTTGGGTCGTAATAGGTGCTTTACTGGAAAAATGACGGATTGCTGTTGCCTGTGTGAACAGTGCATTTTTGAGTTTACTGATAAAGTTTAATTTTAAGTCAATTTACTGGTACACTCTAAAAAATGCTGGGTTAAATACAACCCAGTGCTGGGTAAAATAGGGACAAACCCAGCAATTGGGTTGTTTTGACCCAGCGGTTGGGTTAAATGTTTAACCCAACCTTCTGGGTAGTAACCCAACCACTAGGTCAAAACAACCCAATTGCTGGGTTTGTCCCTATTTTACCCAGCACTGGGTTGTATTTAACCCAGCATTTTTTAGAGTGTATTACTGTGTGAAAGGTGCTATTCTCTAAGATGTTGTCCAGGTTGAGTTCAGATGTTCCGGTGTTCTTGGATCCGGTCGCTCGTGCAGAGAAACTCTGAGATCTTCTCCAGCGGTTTAAGGCCGGATCAGAGGCGCTGGTTTACAGTGATCCGGTCTGAGCCGGCTGTGAGGACATCTGTGGGTCTGGAGTCCTGAGGAGACCAAACCTGAGAAACTTCATCAAGAACTACAGTCAAACCAAAAATTATTCAGACACCTTCAACATTTCTCACATTATATCACAGTTTATTGGCTATAGTTTAGAAAATGGTAATAAAATATGAGAAGAACTCAGAGTTAAACTGAGTCAGAACAAACTCATCTTGATAATCTCAGATAACTTTGATAGAAAGGTATGTAATGAATAGATGTAAACGGTGCCTGTTCGCAAATGTTTTATGCGATATTCCAATTTTGCGCATAAGTTAAATTCGCAACTTTGTCTGTGATTTTCGTATATGTTCGGTCCTTGCCTCTCTGATTAGATTCAACGAGCTGAAGTTGGTTTTGGGTCGTAATAGGTGCTTTACTGGAAAAATGACGGATTGCTGTTGCCTGTGTGAACAGTGCATTTTTGAGTTTACTGATAAAGTTTAATTTTAAGTCAATTTACTGGTACACTCTAAAAAATGCTGGGTTAAATACAACCCAGTGCTGGGTAAAATAGGGACAAACCCAGCAATTGGGTTGTTTTGACCCAGCGGTTGGGTTCATCTTGATAATCTCAGATAACTTTGATAGAAAGGTATGTAATGAATACGGTTGAATAGCTGTCAGCTGTTACATTTAATACACAATTAGATAAAACCAATTTAGCTCAACTAATTCCAAGCAGTGCTTCATTTAGTTCAGTCTGTGGTGTAAAAAGATCACATGAGCAATTAAAGAAAAACACTGAAGAAACACATGCTCAGCTCAAAGTGTCTGAATCATTTTTGATCCCAAATTTTACTGGAAGTCCACTGTATGAAGAGTTTGTCACAGTTTACTTTATTTTGCTATCCTCACTTACATAAATGAGCTATAGTGTCCTGCACCCACTAGTAAAAAAATATAAAAAATTATATCTGCTGTCTAGAACTATTACCCACAACTATTATAAAGTGCTTACAGCCACAAAACAGTGCTTTCTGAATTTGGTCGTCTGTCCTCTCAGCTTTTATTAAAGTGTGCGGCGTTCAGAGAGAACCTCAGCGGTGTTTGTTATGGTGAATGTTCCTCCTCTGGATGATATGATATGTGTTTCCTTCTCTTCTTGTCTTTAGCTTGCTCTCATACTGTAGTGTTGTGAGCAAACAGACTCCCGACGGGATGATGCTGTGCTTCTGCTCCTGCGAGTGTAAATCTGTGCATCGTTAGAAACGAGCTGACGCAAGCTTAACATTCGTCTTCATTCACAGCCTCGCTGTTTCTGTCAAAGCACTGGAAGAGTTTGGGAAATGTTTGTTCTTCATTTAAAGTAAACCTGAAATCAATACTGAGTCTACTGACTCTATGATTCATCAGTGATATTATTCTGACGTCATCAGTCCCTCTTATTCATCAGAAACCTTCATATACTTCATATATTTACACACACATCTACTTAGTTCATCATGGAGAAAGTTATTTGTTAAACATCTTGTTTTACTCAGAAATTCCAAAAAATACCAAAGTAAAATGGGTTCATATCTTGTTTTATTTAATTGTATTTATTTATTTATTTATTTATTTATTTATTTTAATTTGTTCATTTGTAATACAGTGTGATTTCAGTTTTTATTTTTATTTTTTCATTCATTCATTTATATTATAATATTATATTAATATGATCTATTTATTAATTTCCCCCAGAGTTTCACTAATTTTATAATTAATTAATTATATTTATTTTATATTTATTTTATCATTTTATTTCTTCCCCCTGAGATTTACTCATTTTATATTTATATATTATTTAATATATACTATATTTTTTGCTATTTCCAGTGGATCATTGATGTATTGATGTATCATCATTATTACCTACAATACAGTTTATTTTATTTGTTATTTGTATATTTTTATGCTTTTAGGCCAATATTATTTTATTTTATTATTTTTTTATTTTTTTATTTTTTTTATTATATTTTGTTTTCACCTGTTTCTGCTTTTAGGCCAATATTTCTTTCATTTTTTTTTTTTTTTTTTATGTATTTTTTTTAATTTTATATGCATCTTTTTGTGCTTTTATGCCAATATTACTTTCATTAAATTTTTTGTTAATTTAATTAATTATTTTTATTTTATATGCATCTATTAAAATGCATTTATATGCATTTTATTTGTGCTTTTAGGACATTATTATCTACATTCTATTTTTAATTAATTAATTAATTTAATTATTTATTATTATTATTATTATTTTATATGTATCTGCTTTTTGATCAATATTACCTACATTTAATTATAATTTTTTTCTATATTAATGATTAATATTATATTGTTAATGGCTGTGACGTGATGTTAGAATCATGCTGAAATCTGTGTGTGTGTGTGTGTGTGTGTTCTCTATGCAGGGAAAGCGTATCCTCCGGAGTTTTATTATGACACCTATAGCCCGCTGTGGCAGAACCGGCCGCGTGTTTATGGCTATAAGCTGCAGTGGACGCAGATGAACCCTAGCGCCGTGGACCGGATCATGGCCTACCGCCTCGGGATCCGACAGGTGAGCGCCGCAGGATCGCAGTGGTTTGCATGTAAAAAAAAAATAATAATAAAAAGTCTTATTGATAATCGCCTTAAAATATATTACTATATCTGATTCTATCGTCTATTGATTATATTTTCATCTTTTGGTGATGATTACAGGTGAATCATTAGTGAAGATCATCATTATGAACATTTGTGTCCTTCATAGATTTATGCAATTGTTTAAGAGCAATTAAACACTACACTGTTTTTGTTATAAACTCTTAAAAATAAAATTGTTTGGCATAGAAGAACCTTCAAGTCAGAAGTCAGAAATAACTTTATTGTCTAGTATGCTTGCACTAGTGTCACAAGCTTCCAGTGCACAGAGACAACAACAACACACAGACAATAAAAATAAGATGAGAATAAAACTGCACATACAGTATGTAAATATAAACAAAAATAGAAAAATAAATTGAAAATAAAATACATTTTATGTACAGTTGTGCTATAGATAGAATAGAATAGGAATAGAATAGAATAAGAATTAGGGATTTTCATTACAAAAAAAAGGTTCTTCAGATGACTAAACTGTTCTTCACACTAAGAAAAAAACAATTCTTCTGTGTCATCACTGTGGGAAAAAAAAACCTTCAAATCTTCCTTTTTAAGAGTGAACATTTATGGTATATTGGATGATTGTAGAAGCATTAGAGTTGATTCAGTGAACTGGTTCAATAAATTGTCTATGAATTTTATTTCAACTTGCTTGTATCTTAATTTAAAAGCTTTTTTTATTTTATTTTATAATATGTTATATTACTTTATTTTGCATTCCTTATTCATGTGTTTATCATAGTATGTTGGAAATAGTATGCCATGGTGCCCCGTAGTATACTTTTTTTTTTGCGTTAGTGAGTGAGTGTGTGTGTGTGTGTGTATGTGTGTGAGTGAGTGAGTGTGTGTGTGTGAGAGAGAGAGAGTGAGTGTGTGTGTGTGAGAGAGAGAGAGTGAGTGTGTGTGTGTGAGAGAGAGAGAGTGAGTGTGTGTGTGTGAGAGAGAGAGAGTGAGTGTGTGTGTGTGAGAGAGAGAGAGTGAGTGTGTGTGTGTGAGAGAGAGAGAGTGAGTGTGTGTGTGTGAGAGAGAGAGAGTGAGTGTGTGTGTGTGAGAGAGAGAGAGTGAGTGTGTGTGTGTGAGAGAGAGAGAGTGAGTGTGTGTGTGTGAGAGAGAGAGAGTGAGTGTGTGTGTGTGAGAGAGAGAGAGTGAGTGTGTGTGTGTGAGAGAGAGAGAGTGAGTGTGTGTGTGTGAGAGAGAGAGAGTGAGTGTGTGTGTGTGAGAGAGAGAGAGTGAGTGTGTGTGTGTGAGAGAGAGAGAGTGAGTGTGTGTGTGTGAGAGAGAGAGAGTGAGTGTGTGTGTGTGAGAGAGAGAGAGTGAGTGTGTGTGTGTGAGAGAGAGAGAGTGAGTGTGTGTGTGTGAGAGAGAGAGAGTGAGTGTGTGTGTGTGAGAGAGAGAGAGTGAGTGTGTGTGTGTGAGAGAGAGAGAGTGAGTGTGTGTGTGTGAGAGAGAGAGAGTGAGTGTGTGTGTGTGAGAGAGAGAGAGTGAGTGTGTGTGTGTGAGAGAGAGAGAGTGAGTGTGTGTGTGTGAGAGAGAGAGAGTGAGTGTGTGTGTGTGAGAGAGAGAGAGTGAGTGTGTGTGTGTGAGAGAGAGAGAGTGAGTGTGTGTGTGTGAGAGAGAGAGAGTGAGTGTGTGTGTGTGAGAGAGAGAGAGTGAGTGTGTGTGTGTGAGAGAGAGAGAGTGAGTGTGTGTGTGTGAGAGAGAGAGAGTGAGTGTGTGTGTGTGAGAGAGAGAGAGTGAGTGTGTGTGTGTGAGAGAGAGAGAGTGAGTGTGTGTGTGTGAGAGAGAGAGAGTGAGTGTGTGTGTGTGAGAGAGAGAGAGTGAGTGTGTGTGTGTGAGAGAGAGAGAGTGAGTGTGTGTGTGTGAGAGAGAGAGAGTGAGTGTGTGTGTGTGAGAGAGAGAGAGTGAGTGTGTGTGTGTGAGAGAGAGAGAGTGAGTGTGTGTGTGTGAGAGAGAGAGAGTGAGTGTGTGTGTGTGAGAGAGAGAGAGTGAGTGTGTGTGTGTGAGAGAGAGAGAGTGAGTGTGTGTGTGTGAGAGAGAGAGAGTGAGTGTGTGTGTGTGAGAGAGAGAGAGTGAGTGTGTGTGTGTGAGAGAGAGAGAGTGAGTGTGTGTGTGTGAGAGAGAGAGAGTGAGTGTGTGTGTGTGAGAGAGAGAGAGTGAGTGTGTGTGTGTGAGAGAGAGAGAGTGAGTGTGTGTGTGTGAGAGAGAGAGAGTGAGTGTGTGTGTGTGAGAGAGAGAGAGTGAGTGTGTGTGTGTGAGAGAGAGAGAGTGAGTGTGTGTGTGTGAGAGAGAGAGAGTGAGTGTGTGTGTGTGAGAGAGAGAGAGTGAGTGTGTGTGTGTGAGAGAGAGAGAGTGAGTGTGTGTGTGTGAGAGAGAGAGAGTGAGTGTGTGTGTGTGAGAGAGAGAGAGTGAGTGTGTGTGTGTGAGAGAGAGAGAGTGAGTGTGTGTGTGTGAGAGAGAGAGAGTGAGTGTGTGTGTGTGAGAGAGAGAGAGTGAGTGTGTGTGTGTGAGAGAGAGAGAGTGAGTGTGTGTGTGTGAGAGAGAGAGAGTGAGTGTGTGTGTGTGAGAGAGAGAGAGTGAGTGTGTGTGTGTGAGAGAGAGAGAGTGAGTGTGTGTGTGTGAGAGAGAGAGAGTGAGTGTGTGTGTGTGAGAGAGAGAGAGTGAGTGTGTGTGTGTGAGAGAGAGAGAGTGAGTGTGTGTGTGTGAGAGAGAGAGAGTGAGTGTGTGTGTGTGAGAGAGAGAGAGTGAGTGTGTGTGTGTGAGAGAGAGAGAGTGAGTGTGTGTGTGTGAGAGAGAGAGAGTGAGTGTGTGTGTGTGAGAGAGAGAGAGTGAGTGTGTGTGTGTGAGAGAGAGAGAGTGAGTGTGTGTGTGTGAGAGAGAGAGAGTGAGTGTGTGTGTGTGAGAGAGAGAGAGTGAGTGTGTGTGTGTGAGAGAGAGAGAGTGAGTGTGTGTGTGTGAGAGAGAGAGAGTGAGTGTGTGTGTGTGAGAGAGAGAGAGTGAGTGTGTGTGTGTGAGAGAGAGAGAGTGAGTGTGTGTGTGTGAGAGAGAGAGAGTGAGTGTGTGTGTGTGAGAGAGAGAGAGTGAGTGTGTGTGTGTGAGAGAGAGAGAGTGAGTGTGTGTGTGTGAGAGAGAGAGAGTGAGTGTGTGTGTGTGAGAGAGAGAGAGTGAGTGTGTGTGTGTGAGAGAGAGAGAGTGAGTGTGTGTGTGTGAGAGAGAGAGAGTGAGTGTGTGTGTGTGAGAGAGAGAGAGTGAGTGTGTGTGTGTGAGAGAGAGAGAGTGAGTGTGTGTGTGTGAGAGAGAGAGAGTGAGTGTGTGTGTGTGAGAGAGAGAGAGTGAGTGTGTGTGTGTGAGAGAGAGAGAGTGAGTGTGTGTGTGTGAGAGAGAGAGAGTGAGTGTGTGTGTGTGAGAGAGAGAGAGTGAGTGTGTGTGTGTGAGAGAGAGAGAGTGAGTGTGTGTGTGTGAGAGAGAGAGAGTGAGTGTGTGTGTGTGAGAGAGAGAGAGTGAGTGTGTGTGTGTGAGAGAGAGAGAGTGAGTGTGTGTGTGTGAGAGAGAGAGAGTGAGTGTGTGTGTGTGAGAGAGAGAGAGTGAGTGTGTGTGTGTGAGAGAGAGAGAGTGAGTGTGTGTGTGTGAGAGAGAGAGAGTGAGTGTGTGTGTGTGAGAGAGAGAGAGTGAGTGTGTGTGTGTGAGAGAGAGAGAGTGAGTGTGTGTGTGTGAGAGAGAGAGAGTGAGTGTGTGTGTGTGAGAGAGAGAGAGTGAGTGTGTGTGTGTGAGAGAGAGAGAGTGAGTGTGTGTGTGTGAGAGAGAGAGAGTGAGTGTGTGTGTGTGAGAGAGAGAGAGTGAGTGTGTGTGTGTGAGAGAGAGAGAGTGAGTGTGTGTGTGTGAGAGAGAGAGAGTGAGTGTGTGTGTGTGAGAGAGAGAGAGTGAGTGTGTGTGTGTGAGAGAGAGAGAGTGAGTGTGTGTGTGTGAGAGAGAGAGAGTGAGTGTGTGTGTGTGAGAGAGAGAGAGTGAGTGTGTGTGTGTGAGAGAGAGAGAGTGAGTGTGTGTGTGTGAGAGAGAGAGAGTGAGTGTGTGTGTGTGAGAGAGAGAGAGTGAGTGTGTGTGTGTGAGAGAGAGAGAGTGAGTGTGTGTGTGTGAGAGAGAGAGAGTGAGTGTGTGTGTGTGAGAGAGAGAGAGTGAGTGTGTGTGTGTGAGAGAGAGAGAGTGAGTGTGTGTGTGTGAGAGAGAGAGAGTGAGTGTGTGTGTGTGAGAGAGAGAGAGTGAGTGTGTGTGTGTGAGAGAGAGAGAGTGAGTGTGTGTGTGTGAGAGAGAGAGAGTGAGTGTGTGTGTGTGAGAGAGAGAGAGTGAGTGTGTGTGTGTGAGAGAGAGAGAGTGAGTGTGTGTGTGTGAGAGAGAGAGAGTGAGTGTGTGTGTGTGAGAGAGAGAGAGTGAGTGTGTGTGTGTGAGAGAGAGAGAGTGAGTGTGTGTGTGTGAGAGAGAGAGAGTGAGTGTGTGTGTGTGAGAGAGAGAGAGTGAGTGTGTGTGTGTGAGAGAGAGAGAGTGAGTGTGTGTGTGTGAGAGAGAGAGAGTGAGTGTGTGTGTGTGAGAGAGAGAGAGTGAGTGTGTGTGTGTGAGAGAGAGAGAGTGAGTGTGTGTGTGTGAGAGAGAGAGAGTGAGTGTGTGTGTGTGAGAGAGAGAGAGTGAGTGTGTGTGTGTGAGAGAGAGAGAGTGAGTGTGTGTGTGTGAGAGAGAGAGAGTGAGTGTGTGTGTGTGAGAGAGAGAGAGTGAGTGTGTGTGTGTGAGAGAGAGAGAGTGAGTGTGTGTGTGTGAGAGAGAGAGAGTGAGTGTGTGTGTGTGAGAGAGAGAGAGTGAGTGTGTGTGTGTGAGAGAGAGAGAGTGAGTGTGTGTGTGTGAGAGAGAGAGAGTGAGTGTGTGTGTGTGAGAGAGAGAGAGTGAGTGTGTGTGTGTGAGAGAGAGAGAGTGAGTGTGTGTGTGTGAGAGAGAGAGAGTGAGTGTGTGTGTGTGAGAGAGAGAGAGTGAGTGTGTGTGTGTGAGAGAGAGAGAGTGAGTGTGTGTGTGTGAGAGAGAGAGAGTGAGTGTGTGTGTGTGAGAGAGAGAGAGTGAGTGTGTGTGTGTGAGAGAGAGAGAGTGAGTGTGTGTGTGTGAGAGAGAGAGAGTGAGTGTGTGTGTGTGAGAGAGAGAGAGTGAGTGTGTGTGTGTGAGAGAGAGAGAGTGAGTGTGTGTGTGTGAGAGAGTGAGAGAGTGAGTGAGTGAGTGAGTGTGTTTATTAATTTGTAAATGTATTTCTAGTGCATTTACTTTTTTTTGTAAATTGCATTTACTTTATTTTGTTTTAGTGCATCCTTTTACATACACAAACACAAATATAAAAATATGTATAAAAAGTGAACTTATTTTATTTCAGCTTGCCGAGATTTTTTAAGTTGTTTTAAGTCTCTTCTGCTCACCACGTCTGATTGATAGTTTAGAGTTTTTTTATCAGTCAAAGCTCTTTTAGTGTAGTTGTACAAACGTCCAGCTTCAGTTCGTGCTTCTCGTGTCTTTCTGCTGTCAAATCTTGACTGATTTTTATCAAGTAAGCGTCAGAATAACTGCAGTAATATCTCCAGATGAACACTTACTGGACTGAAGCAGCTCAGCTTTACTTGATTCTCCATCAATCATGTTTTAGAGTCTCAAATCTGATCCTCAGGATCTTTTGAGGAGCGTTTGTTTCCAGAAGCTTTACTTTCACTGTTCCCCAGCGGAGGAATGATCTTCACAAGCCTCCAGAACATCTCACATCTTCTGAGGAGCCTTTATTTCTTCAGCTCTCAATCACTGCATTATATGTTTGGATCATTTCAATCTCATCTTATTACTGGAGATATAGAGCGACCACTGATATTTAGATCAGTTTA